ACCAAAGGAGGGGATTAACAAAAAAAACAATAATACAAATTCTTTAAAGTTTGCATTTTTTCTGCATTTTTGCTTCCCACAAGTGCATTTTGCAGGATGCTTCCTTGTGTTGGAGTACTTTTATATGGTGCATTTTAGCCTGGAACCAAACAAATCTGAACACTCATGTTTAATTTGTTCTGGCAGAATACATCTGGCCCCCTCCCGTTCACACAGATTTGCACTAGGCCTTCACCATGCTGGGCCAATCAAAACCATTTATCTAATGTGTGTTGGGCTTGATACAATTACATCCCTGCATGCTATAGTCCATTTACATTTTCATTTTATTTATTTATTTATTCTTATTTTACGCGTTTCATTGCTCTAATTGGTTACAGGTTTATTCAGAAATATCCAAATATCCAGAGGAATTTTGGAATTAGTGTAAGAGCACACCTTGAAAACTAAAACTGACAAGTTCCACAGTAATTCATATTTGGCCTATTTGACAGCTTTTTCTTTTTACTAAAGTAAATTATCTACTTCTTCCTCCATTGGTAAATATCCTTGAACCATTTTTTAATGAATGCAGCAACAGTCCACATAGACTTTTGTGTCTAATCAGAGTGATGTTTTCCACTATGCAGCCTGAAAATGAAGGTTAATATTGCATTTAAATGAACACAAGATAGAGTCCTATAATTTTAAACCTGATTATAGCACTTATATCAGAATTGTTGGGTGTCTGTGTGCACATCTACAGCATAAGAAGTTCCGCTAGATTACAGACTTACAAAGGCAAAATAAGCCACGGTATTTATCCACACCCCAAACCCCAGCCTATTCATGTATTTAAGTTAAAAAAAAAAAGTTAATTGAGTCAGACAAATTAATGGTGTTTAGAAATTCAACATGGAGAACACCTAATTCTTCCAAATAAAGAAATCTGTGTTTTGTTTGTAAGGATAGAGTCAAGTAAACACAATTCCAGTTGGACTGGCATGGGTGCAGACCTGTTCTAAGGTCTGTTCACACAGCAGAAAGACCGCGTAGCATCTGTCTTCAAATTAATATGCAAATGAGCTGTGGTACTACTCGAGCATGTGTTGCCATTGCAGAGAACAAAATTGGCTCTATTTGAGGGATGTCAAAAACTTGACTTTCACATTGCACCATGTGCTGATACCAGAACTGAAAACCATAAATGAGTGTCAAAAACCAGTTGTGACACGTGTTTGCTGCAATTCTTTAATATACAACGATTTCTGTCAAGATTTGCCTTTTGTTGATACAGATGATAAAACACATAAATAAAAGAATGCAGCACAAACACGCAAAAGAAACAGAAATCCAGAGGGACTTATAACAATATCTCACTACATAATCAAGGTAACAAACAGTGACAAAGAAGACATCAAAACATCAACTTGGAATGAAAAATGATCAGATATGCAAATAAGATAAAATACACAGAATGTAGATAGATGCATTTGTGTTTCAAGGGATGGGAATGTTTTTTGTGTCACAAAAATCTTTAAAAAAAAAAAAAAATTGGTCAGGTGAAGTAAGCCTTTACTGAAATGGGCCTTGGCATTTCATCATCAGTGCAGATGTAGCCAGTGATCCATTACTGTTACAACAGTGTTCCACCTAGAGTAGGAGTACTGAACTAATTCAGATGGTGTCCACAAGGGATATTAGGTTTTTCACACACAGGATTTTGGTGCTTCAACACTGATACTGAAACTCTCAAAGGATTCGTCAGCTGTTGGCAAAAGAAAAAAAATGATTGTTTTATATCTTTTTTTTGCATCTGTTTCATGGATTCCAGCTAGGTTTAGCTATGACTTAGGAAAGAGATCTGAATAATAGAAACAAGGAGCCATGTAAGCAAGCCATTCAAATATAATATGCAAGCAAATAATCAAATGTGAGTCAATGCTACAGTAATTCAACAGCCAGTAAGATGTCACCATGTTTGCGTGCAAACACACATCTGTAGCGTGAAGTATATGGGTTTGTTTTGTATTGTATACACTACCAGTCAAAAGTTTGTTTTTTCTTTATTTTCATGACTATTTACATTGTAGATTCTCACTAAAGGCATCAAAATTACAAATGAAAACATAGGGAATTATGTAGTAAATAAAAAAAGAGTGAAATAACTTTTATAACATTTTATATTTTAGATTCTTTAGAATAGTCACCCTGATTACTGCTTTGCACACTCTTGGCATTCTCTCTCAATGAGCTTCAAGTGAGTAGTCGCCTGAAATGGTTTTCCAACAGTTTTGAAGGAGTTCCCAGAGATGCTGAGCACTTGTTGGCCCCTTTGGCCCTCACTCTTCAGTCCATCTCATCCCAAACCATCTCAATTTGGTTTAGGTTAGGTGACTGTGGACGCCAGGCCATCTGGTGCAGCACTTCATTCCTTGTGTTTCTTGGCCCAAACAAATCTCTTCTGCTTGTTCCTTTTCCTTAGTGGTTTCTTAGCAGCTATTTGACCTCTGAACAGTCGATGTAGAGATGTATCTGCTACTGGAAGTCTGTGTGGCATTTATCTGGGCTCTAATCTGAGGTGTTGTTAACTTGGAATTTCTGAGGTTGGTGACCCTAGCTCTTCCTTTCTTGGGGCGGTCCTCAAATGAGACAAAATATGAAACATATTTAGAGTTATTTATCATTTTTTTCTTTGCCACATAATTCCATATATCTTGCTTCATATATTTAATGCATTCAGTATGTATCTACAATGTGGAAAGTAGTAAAAATAAAGAAACACCATTAAATGAAAAGGTGTGTCCAAACTTTTGACTGGTAATGTATCCATCAGGAAGTGCACACAGCATATAAATCAATCAGTCAGTAAGTCACCACAGGTACTGCTTTAAACAATCAGAACTTTATCTCATTTGTAGTACTATTGCAAATCAGAGTACAGGGTGGGCCATTTATATGGATACACTGTAATAAAATGGGAATGGTTGGTGATATTAAAGTCCTGTTTGTGGCACATTAGTATATGTGAGGGGGCAAACTCCTCAAGATCGGTGGTGACCATGGTAGCCATTTAGAAGTCAGCCATCTTGGATACAACTTTTGTTTTTTCAATAGGAAGAGGGCCATGTGACACATCAAACTTATTGGTAATGTCACAAGAAAAACAATGGTGTGCTTGGTTTCATATAAATGGCCCACCCTGTACTTGTATTGTGGTCAGCAGTGTCATTTTTACCATTTAGGGAACAGAAGGAAACAGAATTATCTTTTAAAAGAGATGTCATAGGAGGCAATACCAGTGCAAGGATGGTATGTATCAAACATGTAACACTACCAGTAGGAAATATTCTTCCAAAGCCCTTAACTTCTAGAAAGGTCACTATAGATGACCAGAAAAATTCTAAGCTACATTAAAAATAAAAATTATTGACATGTTGTCAACAACTGCCACTGTAGAGTAAGATAAAAATGACAGGGATACTTTATTTGGACAGATAGCAGCTGAACTGATACAGCAGTAGAACCCATATCGAAGTTAACAACATGACTTCATTTGCATTAGTTAGATGCCAATCCATGTTTTGGTTTTTATTGACAACACTGGCCTGAATGTTTTTTCATGCCAATCTATAGAGAAACCATGCAAGCAAAGATAAACTGCAAAAAGTGCAATCAAAAGGTGAGAGAATTGTTTTTTCTTTGAATAAGTATTTGTTATTATGGGAAGGCAAGCTTACATTTGACACAGAGGTGTGGAGAGAAATGCATTTTCTGTTTTTTATTTCTTACAATGTGGTGAATGTACTCAAGGGTGCATCATTTCAGTTCAACATAATAGTCTTCCAACACTTGGAGCTTGTATCAAGCTTGTATCATCTCATGCACAAACTGTGAAAGGTGTTTCTAAAAGTTTTCTGTGTGAAGGTGAAGAAATCTTTGTGTATATGGTCGTAATGAAGATGTAAAACTCTCAGTGCTCAGCGGTTGTGTTATTTAACATTTTCTTCACTTTCATCTTCACAGCAGGAGCAGTGGAGGCAACAAGCGGGTACAAGCAGACGTTTCTGCCATATTAATATATGCTAGAACATTGAGCCAACTGTGAACTCCATACAGTTACCATGCAAATACAGGTTACTGAAAACTTGTATATAACCTGTATAAGTTATTTGCTTCTTCAAAATTTCTTAGTTTTTGCATATTTGTCATGCTTAAATGTTTCAGTTTTTTTAAAGTATTATTTAATTTATTAAGGAAAAATCTACAATGACTAATAACCAGAAAAAACAAAAGGCTCATCTTACGTTTACCCCCCAAAAAATAAAAGAAAAATGACATATGGGAAAATATTCTGTGGACAAGACAAAAGTAAACATTTTTGGAACGTTTGAGTCCTGTTAAATCTGGTATAAAACTAACTAGCATTTCATAAAAAGGAGATCATACTAACAGTCAAACATCGTGGTGGTAGTGGGATCTGGGGCTGCTTTGTTGCTTCAGAACCTGAATGACTTGTTCTACTTAATGGAACTTTAGATTATGCTCTCTACCACAAAAACCTGAAGACATCAGTTCATGCCATCAGTTCTTGCCCTGCAGGTTAAAACACTTGGGCAATGATCCAAAACACATGAACAGTGGCACCTCTGAATGTCCCCACCCAAAAACAAAAAAGCAAAGAAGACAAAAGAAGACTGGAGTAGCCTAGTTAAATCACAAGTCAAATCTAA